TGTCTGCTTTCTTCCCTGTTATACAGTACCACATTTTGTTTAAGACATTAATCTCTCCTGGGTTGCATATTTAAAAAAAATAATTCATGAAAAAGTATAATGTAATTGTTCAGTCTTTAATGAATTGGGGCATAATGTTAAATAATTATTCATTGCTTTTATTCTTCTGTCTAAGTGTGCAGAAAAAAGAGCAGCTTTTTATTGCTTTTTTTTTATATAAGGACATGGGCTTTTGTTACATGCATTTATTTTAAACTAATGCTTCTATTATTCCACATTTGAATAATTACAGCTGACATCATCTACTCTTCTGTGACCTAGAAGATCTTTAGCTCTAGCACACTGTTACATATTTTATGCATTACATGAAATAAAACACCTCAAGATTTCAAAAATATTTATTTTAAAAACAGCAATGAAATTGTCTGTAATCACATTTTCTGCTCTGCTTTGAAAGCAGCATTATTCAATATGCCAGTGGTCTTTTCCATAAGAGCAACATATTAGAAATTCATGCTGCTCTAATATATCTGAATTCCTTGATGTACTGCACTCCCTATAGACCTAAAGAAACATTTTTGCTTCAGTTTCACATGTCCTGCACATTACCTACTGATGTGGTGGTTGTCAAAACAGTTGTAGAGTAGCCTTTGAATTCAAAGTGTGCCCTGACTGTATACTAAAAATGACAATAAACCTAAGTATATACATTATGCTGGCTTTTGTTGCCGGCACAAGTAGAGCATTTGGGAAATAAAGCCCCTGATTTTATTGTCTTTTAACATCTTTACCTCTTCAAATCCAGAAATTCGAAGCATTTCAAGAAACTGAAATCTTCTATTTCTTTCTTTATAAATTTTCTATGATGTACCATCATGATCCACATTTTTCAAAAAGATCAGCACAAGATTACAAATTAAAGCATTCCATACATAGGTTGGGGTTTTTTTCCCCCCTATGCAAAAACAGCACCGTTTTTACAGCAGGTAAAAACAGCACAGGTTTCCCGCAGAAAAACCAGCTATCTACATGACACACTAAAGAAGCTGGAATGTCTATAATTTTATTGATACACAGAAAAAAAAAATTTCTAAAACACATTTAAAAGCATTTTTTCAGGTAGATACGCATTCTCATACAACATGCATGTTTTGAAAATGTTAGAAGGGTAACTCTTGTGGTCCCGATATCCTTTGGGATATTTCAGGACAACACACACTGACAGAGAAAGGCTGGCATGTCAAGCCCCAGCTGGGATCTAACCAAACCCACACAGTCTTTAGCTGGTAGGAAACCAGGAAGGGATCTCTATTCCATTATATAGAAGCAAACATGTTTACAGGAACATAAGTACATTTTTGTCAAACAATCAATTCTATCTGTATCAAACTGCATTCAATAAAGAAGCAGGAATAGAAGTCATATCCATTTTGAAGGAGGATTTTAGAGGGCTTCCTATTGGGGCTGGATTGTGGGTTAATACCACTGTGACTCACATTCTGCACAAATTTTGTAGATTTCTGAAGCCCTGATATCCAGATATAATGAGCTCCTAAAGAAATCTGCAAGTGACAGCATGATTTAAATTAATGTGCATGTGTATATTCTGCTTGTCAACTAAGAAAAAATACAGAAATATACAAACAGAAGTAAATAAGTGAACTGACAGCAGAATAATGAGAAGGAAAAATTTTAGTGGTGTTTGATTTTTTTTTAATAGTGGGCATGCAATATGAAAGTCCAATCAATCAAAAAAACTTCAAAGAAGGTTAATTCCAAATTTAAGACACTGTCAATGGCAATGAGAAATTTTTATCTCCCAGTGCTGAGAAATTTTTCTAGAAAGAATTCCCACAGTGTAAAAATCTTTAAGAAGCCAATCCGTAATACGAATTCACTGAGCTGGTAGTGAGCTCTTATTGTGTGTATTTAAGCACTTCCACAGAAGAGAATTCTTAGAGAGATTGGGGTAAATCCTGCCATCCTTACTGAAAGGGATTTCATCTGCAGCTTGGAGGGAGTACTGAACAGTATGAAACAGTGACTTCTGATGGGGGGAGATTTGAAGGGGTTTTAGGAAGGGTACATCCTCAATTTTCAATCTGTCCAAAATCACAGAAATCCTCATCTGAAAACACCTGGTAGCTGAGATGGAAGAAAAACACTATACTTATTATATGAACTATTTTCCATCTGTTTCTGAGCTCACTGAGATTCCTTTCTCACATTTGGCTAGCATTAAGTAATGCTTTGGCTATAAAAAACACAAACACTCACTAGTTCTAATACAGATAAAAAAGAAGGTATTATTGTTAAAATACCAACGTGGGTTAAAAACTAGCTAAAAAGAAGGATGTTTAAACTAAAGAAAAAAAAAAATAATTCAATCACAGGCACATTGCAATGCAGCTGAATTTGTCCCAACATAAGTAAAATTTGCTGAAGATGTGAAATTATTTAGGGATAGAGAACAGCCAACAGATTTGTTTCTAAGAATATTTTTTCTAAAAATACCCATTAGTGCCCTGAAAAATGAAGTGAGACACATGTTTTCCATGTAAACTAAATGGTACTTGATATACTAGAAATTATACGGAACCAAGGGTTTAGATAGATTTGAGAAACTTATAAATTATCTTCTATATGAGGCAATATAGGAGTGATTTAGACAAAAACATGTTAAATGGATCAGTTTGATGAGATAGTAAAAAGGAAACTTGGAGATGAGTAATAGCACAAGAAAAGAGTCATATTGAAGAAAAAATGTTAAATGTTCCAGATTATAAAGATTCAAAACTAAGTAAAGAATGTTAACTCTACAAATTCCCTGCTTTTCTTCATCAGTGCAAAGCCAAAAGAACAATGGGGTCATTCTATTCACTGAAGAAGCCACTGAATTCACTGAAGAGTTAAATTATTTCCCTCAAGTTAATTTCTCTCAAGTTATCAAATTCAAATCAGAGGAGCTATGCTGCCAAACAGTGTTTGAACTGTATGAAATCGAGGTGTTAACATCATATCAGTTGCACTAACATGAGCTGTAGCTTCATCCCCTGCACAGACAAGCCAGCTTGAGTTAAAACTATTGCTAGGTAAGAGGCACTCTTGTGCAAAAAGGGCATGCAAGTTAGGGATAACAGTTGACTTAGTGCATGACACTTCAAGGATCATGCTTTATTTATTGAACAAATCCTCAGAAATTACTGTCAAAATTCAGCACGTATTTTCTTGACATCTGATTTTCATCTCTTCTGATCTTCACTAAGTTCCAATAGCAAAATTGCCTAGTTATGTTATTCAATTTTTTTTTATTTGCCCTCAATGCGATTATTCACTGCAATGATCTACACACTCTCGAGGCCCTTTGTTCAGAGCTTGTTGCAAAAGGTTAATGTGAAATATCACAGCTTAAAAGAATACATAGTTCTGAGCCATAACCATGGCTCAAAAGAGGTCAATTCAATGAAATACTGTCTGTCTTGACTAGAGTGTCAAGCATTTCTCTTACTTTTTCAAGTCTTTTCATCGCTCTGATTCTCAGAACCCCACACAAGATTTCACTTGAGCTCTTTAATGCATGCCATCAGCTTTGTAGACAAGCAAGGAAAATATAGGCCCTTTCCATAGAGCATATTTATATTTCTCTACATAAATCTGCCTCTCCTCCACTCCTCCCATTATTGAACATAACCCTGGGGTCAGATTCTGACCTCAAACACAAAGTGTGCAACATCCTAGTAAATCAATAACAACGGTGCAACATATAAGAAGCCAGTACTAGTGCCCTCTGCTTTTTGGATATCCTCTGAGGGAATGCAGAGCTCCTCAAAATCAAGGTAGCTTTATTTTAATTAAGTTGCAATGACACCATATGACAGAGCATATTTTTGTTTTAAACTAAGTCTTTTCCAGCCACCATAGCCCCATGCTCTGGGACTGTTAGTCTGAGGGGTTGATGGAGTGCTGAACCTAGATCCCTCACTACCCAAACCTCCATGTGTTGTGTCAGCCCTCAGGTTCCCAGGACTGATTTATGTTTTTTAGATAATGTGGTGGGAAGCTAGCAAGCTGGGAAGCCTAAACAGCTTCAGTCCCTAAGTGCAGAACTTTTGGTGAGAAGCCCAGACCCTTTATCTCTAGGAACAATAGATTCTTATCTTTGTCTGTTGGGATCTGCAGCTCCTGGGCAGCCCATTTAGCCCACCTAGTGCTTTAAGTGCCGTGGGATACACATTCCCTTTCATGGGATTTTTAACTCTTTGGGTTAGAATTGTACATCAATGTGAAATAATCTTGTCTGGAGCTGCTATGCAAGAAGTATACTAATTAATTGTAGAGCCCACTTGAAAATGAAACGTGTAAAGTAGCTCTGCAGTTGTTGCAAGCAATTTAACATTCAAAGAAGTGATTTATAATATCAGGCTTCACAAGATTACGACCATAATGACTATCTGACAGACTTTATAAGCAAGTTGTCCAGTCATTTCAATTGGATTCTGGCTGGCTAAGGACTGGGAACTGTAAAAAGGCTGTAAGATTTGGCCTAGAATCAGAAATAACATTTGCTGTTTTCCAAATGTGCGGTAAACAAGAAAGGAGATATTAAATTTTTGTACAACTCTCAGCACATGCAAATGAGAATGGAAAGAGCCTCATCAGACAAATACAGAACAACGGCCATCTGGATCTAAACCCTGCTCCAGCAGGAGTCAGAGCCTTGAGCCTCTTCCTGTCGTTACTTACACCCCTGTAAAGCAGGAACACTTCTACCCAAGGTGGTGGAAGGTAACACCCTGGCTTCAAGGAACTCAGCTAAAAATCTCCCCTCAACTCCAGTGGGGGGAGGATTTGACACAGGGAATGCAATGTAACACCCAGTCAGGCCAGTGCACTCCAAAACGTGAGTGGTGCAGGTGTTTGCCCCCTTGAAGGATTTCAAACACATCCATATTTCCATGATTTTGTACTTAGAATAGAAGGGAAAGACTCAAAGTGCTTACCACAGAAAGGGAATTGGAAAGCAGTGTCCCGTCTTGGCCAAGCATGTTGGAAACTGTAATTTCAGGTAGATCCATGTTTTGAGGGTGGAATGGAAGGAGGCCATTGTGGTTCATGGGATGACACAGAGAGTGGTACCCAGACTCTATCTCATTCAAGTGCACCAGGGAGTGGTCAGGCAATGACGGAGGAGTTATAGGAGGTATGTTGAAATCTTCACTTTCGAGACTTGGGCCAGGAAAAGACTGGAATAAAAAAGAAACAACAAATGGAAAATGCTATGAAAATCATTTGAGCACTGGTCAATAACAATGAAAGTCATACAGAACAAACAAAAAGAGTCAAACTCACATACTTTTAAGCACAATCTACAATTTAACAAAGAATATTTTCAAGAGGTATATATTATACAAGTGGACTCTCACCATTATGCATGGAGGAAAAAATGCCTCTAAGGCATAAGAATCTATGATACTTTTCCCTTAGAAATATTTTTTTTTTTTAAAGAAGGTGAGCTCAAACAGATTTCAAGGGTCCTATTAAAATTAACTGTGTTCATCTAGCTGAACACCTTTTTCATGGGAATTGTGGAAAAGGGAATGAAATTTATAAAATTAATATTGGCACAAAATGGTTCATTTTACTCCCTGCTACTCAGACCAAGAATTACATAGTGAAGAAAGATACCACTTTTATGCTTATGGGAGTGCCATGCATTTATTTGGCTACAAAGAAAAAGAAAGAGTACATAATTAGTATGAGTATACTTTGTGTTTGTAAAAATACATTTGAATGTCTAAAAAAAATAAACTATTTTTCCTTTCTTAATCCATAAACTGAATTATACATATGTTTTGTCAGTTATCTGAATTATTAATGCCACCAAACAACTGTTAGTGTTTTGTTGTCTGCTGCCATTAAGTTATCCAACTCAATCTCGTCCAAGGAAAAGCCACAGGCAAAGTCAGAGGAATGCACCAAGGTGGATAATTGTTATTATTTATCTACAGTTTTTGTAAAGCAGATTGGCTCATTTGTGGGATAGGGTGGGTATATGGATATTTCTTGAAAGGAAAATGTGAGCATAATAAAGAGTTAAAGAGATCAGCTGCATTGGCTCCGCCTGAAAGCCTGCTCTGGTTTTCTGAGAACAGCCAACTCCTTTGCAAAGTGATCAGTCTTTGCACATCCCATGCCCACAGTCAGGAGATTTATAGCACAGAGACTACTCCCACCCTTCCTGCCCCTCTTCAGCACAGCAGTCCTGCTCTGAGTGCTGCTTTTGTTAATAGAAATGCAAGGATTTAAATACATTCTGCTCCTGAAAAGTATCACCACAAAGGATGAGTATGAAGGCACAATTTCAAAGAGCAGCTATTGGAAGAAAATGTTTTCCACAATATGTTTCCAAATGGAGGACAGCACGGTGTATGAATTCATGCAGAAGGACAAGGGAAGAATCAATGGCCAATTACAAACAAAGGGATTTTTCATTAGTCATCATAAGAATAATGTCCTCCTGATGCCTGAGGTTACTCTCCTGTGTACAAGCATGTATATATAAACTTAAATCAGACCAAAATCAAACAGTATTAAATGTTTTCAGTGAGCTGGTGAACACAGAAAAACCTCCTCTAATGCACATTGCATACCATGGTTTTGGCTGCTTTGCTTTTTTCCCAAAAAGGTTTTAATCTCTTTACCAAATATCTTAGTATGAAATAGAACAAGAAGTCTAGAAACTGGAAAGGCCAAAATAAAATCCCCAGAAACGAAAACGACAGAACAGGGTTCACCACTGTTATGCGTGAGGACTTTGATTCTACCCATGCATTACAGCTGTGTTTCTCATCTCCACAACAGGAGTTTGCTCTCCCTTTGCCCCTGCTTTCTCCTTAATGGCAAGCTGGTGTGAGTCTACTGACCTCTGTAAGTTGCATTTGCCCCCACTTTTACAAGCCATAATGCAGCCATTTCTCCAAGGGGAAATACAGTAAAATAGACCTTCACTAAACGAAGAGAAGGCTTAAACATGGCAAAGAGAACATTGCATTTATTTAGGAGCAAGGTATAAATTTTGTGAAACCAAATAAAAGTATTAGGGATGCTGCATACATTAGCAAGTTACTAATTACTATTATATAAAATCCATGATGAAGAAAAAGGCGTCTAAAGTGAGTTTAAGACCAAATACCACAATAATTAAACAGCAAGGAACAGAAATGAAGGAAGGGAAAACATCCATAATACTCTCCTGGACCAGCACTATCGCTGCAGGTACACTTAGTTTTGGTAACAGTAATCTTGGTGATCTTGTAGCCTACAGCTCCCGGGAGGGATTAATTTGCTGTAAAGATGACACTTACGTTTGTGTCTTTTTCTACTGTCCCAAAAGACTTATGGCCTCAGAAGAGCTTTCTCTCCCCTGGTTTTGCAGGTAGAACATATTAACATGTATTTTCTCTCTCTTGCACTGTTCTGTGAGACTTAAGTTCACTACTAAGAGCAAATATTCCTAAAACAAATACTGACAGGCTATTGGAGGCACCTAGCATATCTGCTGATTTGTACACCTCTTTTTGCATGTCACATATGGATGGACCAGGTTTGACCTTTGATTATTTGTGCTTCAAATTATCTTTACCTAGTAATACTTCAAAAATGGTGGAATCAATTGAACTGCCAGTAGGCCATTAGCTTCACTTAGTAAGAAGGAAGTATAAAGCACTATCAGCTCCACAATCCAAGTTGTGTCATGTGTAGATATATAACGTAATATATAAAATATATGGGTTAAGCATTTAAAATAAATGGTTGTTCTCTGATTAATTACTAAAAAAAAAGAAAAAAATCACACCATGGCTGTTGCTTGCAAACCAATTAAGAGTGTATTTGACCCCACATCACCTACAATACTATTGTCCACTACACTTAAACATAGGACTAGAATAGCAAAAGCCATAATGACATAACAAATAACATATAATTCAAATTACAATGTTTCTTATATTTCTCTATTTTTAATTTCTTTTTTCTCAAGACATAAACTATTGTACTATTTTAGCAAAACTAGGCAGAATCCAAGCTATATGCTAATGGTATGGACAGATATCCAAAAGCATCTGCAGAGCTATTCACCTTACATTTTCAGTCAATTTGATATTTCCATGCTCAGTATTGTGTGCATGTAATGCGTATAGACTTCCTCAGGGAAGTTACTTCAACAGTGATTTGCTGATATTCATTTGTCTCGTCCAGGAGCTTGGTTCAGATGCTTGTAATGACTTACCACAATGGCATATCAAACCCAAAATTCCTAGATACATCTGCAGCAAACCCAACATATCCCAGGAACAAGGCTGTTGCAGCCGTGCCCAGAGGAAAGGTATGAGGAGTGGGACATGTGTTTGTCCTGTGAATAGCAGCTACAACCTTCAGACACTCACTCCTACTTTCCTGCCACCTCTCCCCTTGCCATTGGAAAACCTCTTCCAGTAACCATCTGGGGCCCCCTTGATGCCAACATCCACTTGTGATCCACAGTGATCCACTGCTGGCAATGGACTCTCCTGGAATGTTGTATTGTCACCTTCTTCTGTAAAGGGAAATTTAGGGAAATTTACCAAAAAGCCATTCTCAAGCTTAACCCTGCAGCAAGAACTCCCACTCCCAGAGCAATCACCATCCTGTCCCAGCCTCTGGGCTGAATTAAGAATGTCTTCCCAAATTTAGAGGACAATATGTTTCTGGCTAAATATTTGTGACATTTCTGCTTGAAATGATGGGAACTTCATAGAACAGATGATTGAGATGCCCACTCTGAGATCAAGAGGCTTCATTATCTACATGATACCTTGGTGTATTATTTTATGAGAAAAGCTTGCCAGAATAAAATTATATTAATACTTAACCCTGACTCACTGTCCAACCCAAATCCAAGCTTTTGTTTCTGAACAAGACCCCATTGGCCCTCCTCAATTTACATTTTACGCCCCTTAGCCTGGCCAAATCCATCAACAAGCTATGGAAGGAGGGGCAAAACTGGGGCACTGAGAGGAAGTGTATTTCAGGAGACAGTTCTTTACTTTGGCAACACATAAATTAGGGCTATGCTGATAACAAACACACAGAAAAATCTAGTATTTACTTTTGAGGTTACTCATCAGAAAAATAAGGGAAATGCTGGCAGGAAATACAAATACAGCCCCTTTCCTTAAGTACTCTACAGTGATAACTGCATATTGGCCAGGAAAACTTATGTTTCAAAATAATTTTTATAGAACTTTAAGAAGTGATCAGAGAAGGCAAATCAAAAGAGAAGGCTCAAATTGACTGACCACAAGAGGCAGCAAGCTTTCAAATATCCAGTGTAAATCCCTCTGGAAAGGGCAGAATTGTTCCTGAATAACAGCACAGAAGACAACATTCACTAAGTCTGATTTGTGTGCTCAGTGGTTGCATCAGTCACCATGCATTTACTCAACAGAATCTCATATTAGCAACAGTTCCTCAAAAATTGGGAATTTGCCTATAGATATTTAATTTAAATGATATGAATGGTTCTGCCAACTATGTAGAGCATGTCTTAATTTTTCATTTGCACCAAGGCTTCTGCATCTGAACTGTGGAAAGATGCCAGTTTTTAAAAGATAGATGCTTCAGGCTGTCTCCTCTTCTATTATTGAACGCGTTGTTACATAACTGAAATACTTATGAATTGAGGGTGATGTAAAAACAATGAGCTCATTAGAAGCAGAAAAACAGCCACATACCTTATACAAATTTGAAAGTTAGGATAATATATTTGACAGTGGATATTTTCAGGTGTTTTAATAGGATCAAACTTATCTCTAATTTCTAAATAGAGGACTTTCAGAAGCAAGTGATTTTTAGCTGCTTTTGTCTCTGCATGAACAAGGCTTGATAGCTTGAGACTATAATGCATTACTGTGGAAACCTTTGGTCTGTTACATAAATCATCTTAACACTCAGCAAGAATTGTCCAACAGTGCCATTGATATGTTCAAGTCAATGATCCTGAAAACAATTTTTTTGTGTTTCTTCATATGGTAGACAACAGCAATAAATCATATTCATTTAAAAACACACAATATACTAATTTATCAAGCCACAGCTATAAAAAATGTATTACAGGGGAAGGTATAACTTTTTGTATTGTGTTAATCAATTTCTCTAATTTGCATTAGTTAAAGGCCAAAGCCCCAAGCAAAACATTAATTTTCTT